TCCCTAAAATATCCTGGAAGTTTCCAACCTGGAGTTGGCAACCCTATGTCCTTTCCAGGCAACCATCAGCCTACCTTAATCTGCCTGTCTGTCTTCAGGTTTACACCCCCCCCCCCAAGACTCTGCCTGGGGAAAGGGCAGTTTTTCCCTGCAGTGGGAACCAAAGCAGCTGACATCATTCTCCTCTCCCCCGTATGATCCGCACAACTACCCTATGAGGTATGTTAAGGTTGAAAGTGTGTGAATGGTCCATAATCCCTCAGGCAGCTTTTAAAACATGAACCTGGGACCTGCACACCATCCTCTGAAGCGCTCTCAGGTACATATCTGTGGCAGTAATGGGGTGACTGCTGGCACCTTTTCCTATCATTTTTTGCCTTGTGGTATTCTGCTTGTGGTGTGATCTGTCTTTTTTGTGGTGTGGCATGATTGTGTTATTGGGTTTGTTTCTTTTGAAGGGGAAGTGATGTGTTGTGAGTGAGGACATATTTACCTCAGAATACACCAGGTCCCATATGCAACTGACAATTCCAACTGTCTTGCGGGCGGGCGGGGGGGGAGTTTGAATGGAGTGAAGTCCAATCAGCTTCCATATGCAAATGACCTTGAAACACTGGCCCAGTCAGAGAAGAGTGGGCTGAAGCGGCCCAGCCGTAGAAGCCCCGTCCCTGCACTCAGTCTGCAGATGGTCCTCTCCTGTCAGAGGCCCAGAGCAGACTGAGCCGAAGACGCTGGCCGGGGCTGACGTGGGCAGGACTACACAAAGCAGCCAGCCAACCCAGCCAGCATCTTCTGACTGACAGTTCTTGCGCCCAAACACTGTAGGTGTGCATTGGAACGTTGGACCCCACTATGGCTTTATATAAGGGGAGAGATTAGGTTAGATTTTTTAACCGCCCTTCCCTGAGGGACAGGGCTCAGGGCGGTGTACCACGTTAAAAATATCCATATATATGTTAGCAATAAAAGCAATAGAACCCAATAAAACACACTAAACCCGACAAAGATGATATCGAGACGACTGATGATGCCACTTCTCTGTGAGAGAAGAGGAAGACAGGTGTGCCAGACTGATGGAAACAGTCGCTGCTCTCAACCAAACACCTGGCGGAATGTCTCTACCTTGCAGGCCCTGCGGAATTGTATTAAATCCTGCAGGGCCAGTTTGGTGTAGTGGTTAAGAGTGTGGACTCTAGTCTGGGAGAACCGGGTTTGATTCCCCTCTCCTCCACTTGCAGCTGCTGGATGACCTTGAGCAAACCATAATTCTGTCAGAGGTGTTCTTGAAAAGAGCAGTTTGTGTCAGAGCTCTCTCAGCCCCACCTTCCTCACAGGGTGTCTGTTGTGGGGAGGGGAAGGGAAAGGAGATTGTGAGCTGCTCTGAGACTCCTTTGGGTAGTGAAGGGCGGGGTATAAATCCAGTCTCCTCTTCTTCTCTTCTTATTTGGCAGAGAGTTCCACTAGGTTGGGGCTAGGGCGTTTTTCCATTTGTTTTATGTCAATTCATTGTGCTGACCTGTTTCCCCCTCCCCCCATGCTGCTCCTTATCTCCCTCTCCTCTGTATTCCCTCCCATCTTGTATCTATCCTCGCTGACATTGTGCAATGTAAGTAGGTGATTGCGTCACCCCAGGATTACTATATATGAAAGCCATTACAGTAGCTTGTAACAGAATCTTTACCTTGATGGACACATATTCAGACCTATGAAATCTCTGTTACCAGGTTTGTTGGCTAATTCAATGATTTTATTTTAATTTGGGGTTACATTTATTATACAATTGGATTTATTATAGAAATTTCACAATTTCATTTCATTTTTTAAATTCAGAATAATTGGTGGAGTTGATATGGCTATACCTATGGCCCATCACTAATACCAGCAATACAATTACAAATATACAAGGTAATTTTATCTTTGAAAGAATCATTTTTCAATTAATAATGATTTTATATACATTTGGAAGTAAATAATTAAGTTTCTCCCCCCCCCCTATTTTTCTTTTTCTTTTTATAATCTCAGGAAACAACATCTGGTTTTAATATAGGAGTACTAAAGATCTTGTATACAGGTCTATGAATGTGTGTCTATACTATATTGATAATTGTGACCACTGAGAAAGGCCCTTACGGGCCGAAACGCGTTTGGTCTTCGGTAGGAAAGTGTTTACCCATCATATGTATTAATAAGTTTTTATAAGTCTGATACTTAGATAAAGATTTTTATCAGTATATGTTTTATGTTTTAACATTTGTACACCCTAATAAATATTTGTACTTTTATAATATACATTGGCTGCGGTCACACAGAGCATTAGGCACGCTAGAGGGACGGAAGATAGGCGGATTTTCCGGGCGCGATCTCACCACCACATCTGGGAAGCGTTGAGCTCCTGTGGCGAACCCGAGGCTTCCCGCGGAAGATGCGCGGTAAAAAACTAGTACCTTGGAGGTACTAGTTTTCTGAAACCGCGGGGCAAGGGTGGGCGTCTGATCGTGTTTCCGGTGGTAGTTCTGGCGCCCGCCCATGTCCCCTTGCAAAAAGGTTTGTTTTTTTTCAAAGTCTCCATGCATGCGCACAAGCACCCAAGGGAGCATGCGCACATTTGAGTTTAAAAAAAACACCAACCCCGTTTGCCCCGCGCCCTGCTTCTTTGCTGCGCCGCAGGACTGTGGAGTGATCAGCACCTCCCCCCTACCACAGGGCCTCCACGGGACCACCCCTGGTAGGTCTGCTCGCACAACCCCGCGGTTTTTAGCCCCGGGGCAAACAGCCACGCTTCCCCCCACATATTTTCCTGCCCGTGTGCCCGCAGCCATTGTTAGCTTAGCCCTTTGGTTCGCAGTCTTATCTTGGGTTGAGTTAACCCTAACCCTTTTTTTTCCCAGTGTTTTTCCCAGTCGAGGACAGCCAGGTGTCTCTCAGGCTGGGGACCACCAGCAGGGATTAACAACCCTCCCCTAGGTCTTTATTGATCCATATGAAAGGGTATGTCTCCCTCTGCTCTTACAGGTGTCCTTGAATGAAGAGGCAGCTGGATGGGCTCCTGAGACAGGCGAGGCGCCGTCTGAGAGCGAGCAGAGGCATCCCTTCATGGATGTCAAAGAAGAGGAGGGCGGAGAGGCCAGCCTGCTGGGTAAGGAGGGCGGGAGGCCTTCCGGGGCCTGAGATGGAGGAGTGTCAGAAGCGCCTCCTGGGGATGGGCTAGTCAGCAGTGGCTACTTCTCCCCCTTCAAGAATCTGAATGGCTGGTCGCTGTTAAGTGAAAAATTTCACTCTTGGGGTATTCTCCTCAAGCGCTTTTGGAAATGGGTGGTGACCGAGCTAAGTTAGAAATTAAGCAGAGGATCAAGGACACCGAACGCCAACTAGATCTACAGGTGTCTCCAACTTTTATAGCGCCAACTAGTAATAAATACATTGTTGCGCAGGCCCCATATTTAGATGTTCTGGAGTCCCGCAACCTCAGAAGGGCTTACACTTTGGCTAGATGCTCTGCCTTACCTTCTGCAGTTCTTGAGGGCAAATTTAAAAAATTACCCCGGACAGAGAGGTTATGTATGTGCGCGTTGGGGGAGATCGAATCTCAGGAGCATGTATTCTTAAGGTGCCTGTTATTTGAAGAGGCGCGCACAAAACTAATTGAGCCTTTTTTGGCAGGCACTTCTGATCAGGATAAGATGGAAAACTTGTTTTTTAACCTTGAACATACAGCGCTCCATCAGATTGCGAAATTTTGCTCCTTGGTTATAAAAGCTCATCAGTGCCCTGGTTGTCACTCGGGTTAGGACTGTACGATTTTAACTTTTACTGTTTCCAAGTCATCTTAGTTCTTTTCCTTTTATCGTGTTTTATTGTAATCTTAAGTCTGGTTTTAGCAACCAAAATGATTGTATAATGTTATTTTTTAGTACCTAGTTGCACTTTGGAAATTTTACTATTAGGCCATTCTAGTTTATTTGTATTTCTATGGTTTTGTATTGCTGGCTAGGTGCCGTAACAATAAAATTCATTCATTCATTCCCCCTTCAAGAGCTGCTTCCCTGTCCTTTGATTCCCCTGAGGACTTTTTTTAAAAATAATTTAATAACTTTTATCAAATAAATATAAAACAATTGATACAGAGAAACCCAAATAATACAAACCATTTAACATTAATAGTATTATTGATATTAGAATCAGTATATCTATCTAAAACGTAACTATTTAAAACTCTTACCGTGTTTTCTGATCACACAGTTGGGTTCGCAACCATCTTGTATAAATGTAAGAATCTGAGCTCGACTGGCTAGTATTTATTGATCAGAATTAAAACATACTCTAAATCTGGGGTTTACAGAACAAACACTTCAGATGAAACTGAATAATCGGGAATAATTCCATTCTGTGCCATGTAATTTATGACCAGAAACCATTTTTCAACAAAAGTTGATTGATCGTTTTTATGTTCAAGTTGTAACAGTCTATCTGTAATTTTTTCTAAAATAGAGCAATCCCATATCTGAGACCTCCATAACGAAACTGAAGGCGCTGATTTGTTCTTCCACTTTGAAGCTATTGCTGCCTTTGCGGCAGTTAATGATGTGACAATCAAAGTCTTTCGTATCTGTGGAATTGGAATATCTTCCCAAAGATTAAGCAATATTAGCTCAGGTCATAAAGGGAGTGTAAAAGGTAAAGGTAAAGGTTCCCTTGCTCGAAAGCCAGTCGAGTCCGACTCTAGGGTTGCGGTGCTCATCTCCATTTCAAAGCCGACGAGCCAGCGCTGTCCGAAGACGTTTCCATGGTCTTGTGGCCGGCATGACTAAACACCAAGGCGCACGGAACGCTGTTACCTTCCCACCGAAGTGGTACCTATTTATCTACTTGCAATTTCTTGCTTTCGAACTGCTAGGTTGGCAGGAGCTGGAACTAGAGACGGGAGCTCACTCCGTCATGCGGCAACCCGGGTCTCGAACTGCTGAACTACTGACCTTCCACAGCCTGCAGTTCAGCGTCTTAACCACTTGAGCCACAGCAGCTCCATTAAGCAATATTAGCTCAGGTCATAAAGGGAGTGAATACCCTGTTATTAATAGAATCAATTTCAATCTCTCTTGCCAGAATTTAGCAGTATAATAACATGACCACCAACAATGATAGCCTGTCCCCCTTCTCACCACACAACTTCCAGCATTTTGGATTTTTAGAAGGATTAATATGATGTAATTGTAAGGGGGGTAAATACCAATGGGTGATTAGTTTGAATGCTGTTAATCTGGGAACACTAGCTTTTTAACGCCATGAAGGATGAAGTCCATATAAGAACATAAGAACATAAGAACATAAGAGACGCCAATGTTGGATCAGGCCAAAGGCCCATCCAGTCCAACACTCTGTCACACAGTGGCCAGAAATACCAGTGCCATCAGGAGGTCCAGCAGTGGAGCCAGGACATTAGAAGCCCTCCCACTGTTGACCCCCCCCCCAAGCACCAAGAAGACAGAGCATCACTTGCCCCAGAGCCCCTAGCTATACCTTGTGGCTAATAGCCACTGATGGACCTCTGCTCCATATGCTTATCTAATTCCCTTTTGAAGCCGTCCATGCTTGTATAGCGTCCATGCTTATATAGCGTCCCATTGCATATCAGTAATAACCGTGGAGCAGTCTGATTGCCTCAAGAGAGGGGCTGGTAACTTAAGAAGAGCCCAGGTGGTCAAAGCCCAAGTCCCACTGACTCTTTCCTACATGGGTCACCTTTGGGCCTTCCCAGTTCTCCACCCCACCCCACCCCGCCATCCCTCTCCAGAAACCAGGGTGGTTCTCTTTGAACTGTTTGGTTTGTTTAACAAGGCTTTTCGGAGGCTGAAAGCCAACTCATGCCCCATGTCACACGTTTCTGGATTTTATGACACATTTTTGTACTTCACGGTCAATCACAGCAAATCAAGAGGAGAGGGTGTCAAGATATTGGCCCCTTTAAATTCCCAAAGTCTCTGCAGGAGTAGTATACATGGTGTTTGTCCATAAGAATTAGTTAGCTAGCACATTCAGCCCCTACACCTGATACCAGTTACCGGCTAGGAAAATGTCTGCAGCTGGGTACTGTCAGAATGTCAGTATGACTCGACAAGATCTATGACAGGATTATATCTACGTCAGCCACGTGCTTGCCCCTGTGAAGTAATAATGAATTGACAGCTCGTCTGCCATAAATCAGGAAGCAAGACAAGCCAGGGACCTTGCTGGAGTGCTCTTAATTACTGGAGGCTGGTGAAGATCAGTTCCAGGACTGGTTCAACCGGAGAAAAGAACTTTGATACTTGGCCCCAGCCCAGCTTTCTGCACAGGTGCTTTGGGCAACGTCCCAAGGGATAAGTATTAGTTTAGTTAGAATAGCTTTCTGTTTATCTGTTTGTGTCTCGCTCACTGAAGTTTCTCCCTAACTTGTATGTTTTTAAGTATTTGTTTATAATAAATCTACATGTTTTAATTGGAGTAGTCACTAATCCTTATCACCATCAAAAGGTACAACGGAGCTCTCTAACGAGCCTCCTGCTATTAATCTCAGTGCGCCGATGAGGACGACCCTGGGAGAAGGTAAATTCATACCCTGTAGTCTCTGGGAGTAGGCCGGGTTAGGGCAATAACATTAGAGGCGGCAGGCTAGTGCCGTAATACAGGGTCAGGGTCATCACAGAGGGGCTGTGGTTCAGTGGAAGAGGCTGACCCGGAAACTCCAGCTGGTACAGAGTGCAACGGCATGGGTCCTTACAGGGACACCATGTACGGCACACATCCAACCTGTGCTGTGTGAGCTGCACTGGCTTCCAGTGGAGTACCGGATCAGGTTCAGGGTTTTGATATTGACCTTCACGGCCCTAAATGGTCAGGGATCTACGTACCTTCGGGACCACCTCTCCTGGTATACCCACAGAAGATGGTTGTGCTCTGTAAATAAAAATCTATTGGTGGTCCCCGGCCCAAGAGACATCCAGCTGTTCTCTACCAAAGCCAGGGCCTTTTCTGCCCTTGCTCCAACTTGGTGGAACTCTCTGCCAAATAACATCCGTGCCCTGCAGGACTTGTGACAGTTCTGCAGGGCCTGTAAGGCAGAGATATTCCGCCAGGCGTGTGGTCGAGGACAGCAATGGTTCCATCCTGGCACTCCCCTCCCCCTCCCCCCCCTCCTGTGAGATAGTGGCGTTACTGGCTTCTCTTGTGCCATCTCCAGCTATATTTCTCTTGTTACTGGGTTTTTTTCTTTTTCTTTCTTTAAATCCCCGGAGGGATATTTTTATTTTGCAAATACTACAAACTACAAAGAAATATTAGGGAAGGGACTACAACTAGGGATAAAGGAAAGCAAACCACACTAACCTAAAACCCCAAGAGGAGGAGATCTTTTCACTTTAGTAAAATTGTTAGTACTATAAGTATTAATATCACAATTACTTGTAGAGTTCTTGCTTATAACAGTTCGTTATTTGTTATTTTATTAGCTGTTATGAGAGAAATTTCTGATCATCTTATTATTCTTCGCGTCAGAAGGCCATTTTCCAAGTCCTTCTGCCTTTACTTCGGCTTTCTATCTCTGAAATCATATACCACTCTGGCGGGTCTGTTTTTTTTTCTTGTTTTAATTAATTTTTATTGATGTTGTACACCAGCTCTGAGCCTGGCTGGCCGGGGGAGGGCGGATGAAAAATCTAGTTCAATAAATACATAAATAAAGAGCCTCTGTTTTGTGTGGAGAAGGTCCCAGGTTCAGTCCCTGCCGTCTCCAGTGAAAAGGACCAGGCACTAGGTAATGTGATAGACCTCCGCCTGAGACCCTGGAGAGCTGCTGCCAGTCAGAGTAGACAATACTGACCTTGATGGACCAAGGGTCTGATTCAGTGTAAGGGAATTTATGCTATGCTAGGGATTATTAGGAAGGGTATTGAAAACAGATCAGCCAATATCATAATGCCCCTATATAAATCAATGGTGCGACCTCATTTGGAATACTGTGTGCAATTCTGGTCACCACACCTTAAAAAGGATATTATAGCTTTGGGAAAAGTGCAGAAAAGGGCAACTCGAATGATAAAGGGGTTGGAACACTTTCCCTATGAGGAAAGGTTAAAGGGCTTAGGGCTCTTTAGCTTGGAGAAACGACGACTGATGGGTGACATGATCGAGGTTTATAAGATAATGCATGGGAAAGAGCAGGTAGAGAAAGAAGTACTTTTCTCCCTTTCTCGCAATACAAGAACTTGTGGGCACTCCATGAAACTGCTGAGCGGTCAGGTTAGAACGGATAAAAGGAAGTACTTCTTCACCCAAAGAGTGATTAACACATGGAATTCACTGCCACAGAAAGTGGTGATGGCTGTAAGCATGGACGGCTTCAAAAGGGAATTAGATAAGCATCTGGAGCAGAGGTCCATCAGTGGCTATTAGCCACAAGGTATCGATAGGGGCTCTGGGGCAAGTGATGCTCTGTCTTCTTGGTGCTTGGGGGGGTCAACAGTGGGAGGGCTTCTAATGTCCTGGTCCCACTGGTGGACCTCCTGATGGCACCTGGTATTTCTGGCCACTGTGTGACACAGAGTGTTGGACTGGATGGGCCTTTGGCCTGATCCAACATTGGCGTCTCTTATGTTCTTATGTCTCTTATGTTCTTAATTTCATATGTGTTCCTGCGTGTTAATGTACACAGCAAGTCACATACGAACTGAAGTGGAACAAAAATCTTCAGCCCCTTTTTTCCTTGAAGTGCATATACAGATTTTGAGGGAGAGGAGGGAAAGGTAGAGGGTAAAACCGGCTCCATTGCAGAGCCAAGCCAGGTGAAAGGCGTGTCCAGTTCCTTACTATGGGGTTAAAGGATGCTCTGAAGGAGGAATCAAAACACTGTCCAGGAAACTGGAGTGACCAGTCTGACTTGGTTTTCTTGCATGGCTGCTGACAGGATCTCTCTCTTCATCCCAGCAGGAAGCTTAGGGGAGACATCTGGGGAATTACAGAGGTCATTATCAGAAAATGCTAATGAGGAGGACTCTGAAGGTGACTTTAGTGATCCAGATGGCATCAGGAGGAAGGAGAGAAATTATACGGATGAGAAGAGGGATAAGCCCATTCCGTGCCAAGGAGGCCGCTTCCATGAAATCCCAAACCAAGATGAAAGGTCAGCGAAAGACAGAAGGAAGGAAGACCTCCATTCTAACCAGAGAATCCACTGCAAGGAAAAAGAAAACGAACGGGTGGCTTGTGGAAAAACCTTTACTCAGAAAATGAACATTGTTTCCCAGGAGCAAATTTGCTCAAAAGAGAAACTGTACAGTCGCTCAGAGCACGGGAAAAGCTTCAGTCGTGAAACAACCCTTTCTTCCTATCAAAGAATTCACTCAGGTGAGGAACTGAATAAACACTTCTTTGATTCAGCGTTAATGTACGTTTAAACTATATATTAATGGAAGAAACTACTGAAATATGCTCTGTTGGGCTGAGGACAGACTGGCAGTATGAAGGGCTGTCACGGCTCAGGTGGGGTGTCACCTGACGCTGCCACCACTCTGGTTCCAGGCTCCTCTGAGAAGGCCCAGAGCACCCTCCCAGGCCTTTAGACCTCCCTTTTGGCCGAATAATAGGCGTGAGGACCAGGCAGAGTGAACAATAAAAATAGTTTATTTTATAGGAGGTCAAATAAACAAGGTGCAGAATAATAACAGTAAGTGGGTGAAAAGAAATCAAATGCCTTAACGCCTCTAAATATATGCTGTCCCTAGCTCACTATCAAGTGGCCTTAGACTACTCACCCTTCCCTCAGGATGAGGGTTTCTTCCCCACAGCAGCCTCAGTCCTTTCTGGCTCTGTTCCCTGGGAAGAAGAACAGTTTTCCCTCTTGTACCAGTTCCTATATTCCCCAGCCCTCTTCTTCCCTATTGGTCAAAATCGGCGCCAAAACTTCCAAAGGCCTTCTGGGATTTGTAGGCCCAGCCTCCCTTACTGCTAGCCAGGCTCCCTGGGCCTAGTAGGCCTCTGGTGGCACAGCCCAGATCATGACAAGGACGGGTTGAGTACAGTTGGGGAACGCTTGACAGCTGTGGCTGTGTGAACCGGCCCCTTTAATCCGTTAGTGAAACGTGCCTATATCGGGACAAACTGCCAGTCTGAACTCAGCCTTGAAAAGAACTTCAAGAGAAGGTCAGGTTTCCTCGCATGGATGCTAATAGGGTCTCTCTGTTTATTCCCACAGGGGATGATCAGCAGAAAGAGGAAAATGAGGAACTGCATGAGGTATCATCTGTAAAAGCCAAGAATCAAGTGTTGAAAGGAAACTTCAAAAATCTAGACAGAGCAAAGAGACAAGAAGGAAGTCACTTGGCCGAGAAGAGGGGTCCACCCTATCTTTGCCAAGGAGGGGATGTCTGTGAAGTAATGCGCATAGTGGAGGAAAGATACAAATGCTTGGAATGTGGAATGGGCTTCTCAGATCAAATCCAATATAATACCCATTTGCAAAAGCACAGTGGAAAGAAAAGACCTAAATGTTCAGAGTGTGGAAAGAGCTTCAGTTGCAGATCAGCGCTTTTGAGGCACCAAAGAACCCATTCAGGGGAGAAACCTTTTGAATGCTCAAAGTGTGGAAAGAGCTTCAGTTGCAGATCAACGCTTTTGAGGCACCAAAGAACCCATTCAGGGGAGAAACCTTTTGAATGCTCAAAGTGTGGAAAGAACTTCAGTTACGGATCAGAGCTTTTGAGGCACCAAAGAACCCATTCAGGGGAGAAACCTTTTGAATGCTCAAAGTGTGGAAAGAGCTTCAGTTGCAGATCATCGCTTTTGAGGCACCAAAGAACCCATTCAGGGGAGAAACCTTTTGAATGCTCAAAGTGTGGAAAGAGCTTCAGTTGCAGATCAGAGCTTTTGAGGCACCAAAGAACCCATTCATGGGAGAATTTTGAATGCTCAAAGTGTGGAAAGAGCTTCAGGTGGAGAAGTGACCATCAACGGCATCAAATGACCCACATGAGGAAAAACAGAGGAGCCACTAGGCCTGTGACAAGAGCTCCTTTCATATGTCATACATTAGCTGCAACCATACAGTCCACACAAAAAACATAAAAACACAGGAAGAGCTTGCACCAGCACAAAAATCTTACCATAGCCCTAAAAACAAGCAAACAAAATTGAAATGGGAAAGAAACGGTATAAATGCTTGGACTGTGGAAAGAGATTCATCTGTTTTTAAAGCCTCAAATAGATCCCAAAGGGAAGAAAGCAAAGATGTGCTGTGAGGGTGGAAGGAGATTCAAGACCAGCTCTGTCCTCTGTAAACATTGGGAAATCCACACAGGGGAGAAACCTCAGAAAGACTGAATGTGTGGCAATGGCGTGAGGAAGAGATCAGACCTTCATGTTCTTCCACACAAGGGTGAAACTTTCCTATGATTTATTCTTAGGAGGCCCTTCTGTGATCACCTAGGCATTGAGAGCTTAGGCTGTTGTGAGCATTTCAAGGTTTCACCAGTGGGATTAATTCAGATTCAAAGGAAAACTCCATATGTTCAGAGGGTCCCCGAACAATATCCAGTATCCTAGAACTGGGTGGGTTTCCTTGGAGTTTGAAAATGAATATTTTGAAATAAGAATCCCCCTTAATTCTCACAGTGTCAGGAGGGAGAAATAAATTTTTCTGTGTTCTGTTTGGGTTTTTCTTATAAACTGGTGGCTGGAAAATGTTTAAAACGATAGTCCATTGCAAGGGTGTTATGTGTTTTTAAACACTGACTGTAAAATTTTAGAAAGAAATCCTCTTGCTTGAGCCAAGCACCTTCCACCTTGTCTGATCCTCAGGCATTCAAGATCCAGAGTGTTGTGCTACAGCTGGGTGGATCTGGGTTCCAATCCACACTTGGCCAGTCACAATACACTCTACGCTCATGTGTCAGGGCTCTTATTAGGACTGCAAGCAACTGGCTTTTATCTGGTTACCACCATTGCTACTTCCTCCACTTCCTTCACCCCGGGGCTGCTGCTACTGCCTCTGCAGCTGCATTGAGAGCCAGTTTGGTGTAGTGGTTAAGTGCACGGACTGTAATCTGGGAGAACTGGGTTTGATTCCCCACTCCTCCACTTGAGCCTGCTGGATGACCTTGGGCAAGCTGCAGTTCTGGCACAGCTGTTCTTGAAAAAGAGCAGTTTCTGTCAAGAGCTCTCTCAGCCCCACCTACCTCACAGGGTGTCTGTTGTGGGGAGGGGAAGGGAAAGGAGTTTGTAAGCCGCTCTGAGACACCTTTGGGTAGTGAAGAGCAGGGTATAAATCCAATCTCCTCTTCTTCTGATAAGCACAATTTACATTGGGATTGCCTTGGTCTGCTATTAACTTCGAGACCTGATTAGTATGAGTCACACACACATTTGGTCACACACAGACACACAAAGATAGGAAGGGGGCAGAGAAAAGAGATGTGTTGTGATAATGCAAAAGGGAAATTAAAAGGAAATTATTTTGCCAGTTTGGTGTAGTGGTTAAGTGCGCGGACTCTAATCTGGGAGAACCGGGTTTGATTCCCCACTCCTCCACTTGCACCTGGCTGGATGACCTTGGGCAAGCCATAATAACTCTGGCACACCTGTTCTTGAAAAAGAGCAGTTTCTGTCAAGAGCTCTATCAGCCCAACCTACCTTACAGGGTGCTTGTTGTGGGGAGGGGAAGGGAAAGGCGTTTGTAAGCCGCTCTGAGACACCTTTGGGTAGTGAAGGGCGGGGTATAAATCCAATCTCTTCTTCTTCTGCATCATTCTGAAAAGTTTTTTTTAAATTAGATTTCTCTGTGTCTCTCTGGGATTTTATTTTATTTTATTTTTAAAAGACCCTGAATAAGAATTACAACATTTGGACTGGATTCTATTGTTTAATGAGTGGAAGTAGGTGGCTAAGGAGATTCCATAAGGAATGTTAAGAGTTTAAAAATACATGTATGGTTCCATATGTTCCAGTTCAACACGTCCCTTCTCTCCCCTCCCACCTCACTGGCTCCCATTCTTCACATTAACCCACATCTTTGCTTTTTAAAATGTTTCATTATTGTCACTAGCACTGAGTGGACTTCACCCAGTCTGAAATTAACACCTTATTTCCCTCGGAGAGATCCCTGTCTCCATTTCTAACAGATTTTTAAAAAGAAACCTAACAGCACAGCTTGCAATCTTTATTCGTGGAGTTGATTGAGAGATGCATGTTACAGAAGAATTTGCAGAAATCGTTCTAGTGAAAAATACAACCACAAGTGATGATGACCTCTGCAAGAACTTGTTAAGGGCTGGGGTCTGTATAAAATTGGTGCTGGCTGGACAAAACTGGTGAGTCTGGCCACAGATGGGGCACCACAGATGGTGTGGGGGAAAGCTGGAGTTGCTGCAAAGCTTCCTTGATTGAGTCCGTCCATCTCATGTTGGGTCATGAGCCAGTTTGGTGTCGTGGTTGAGAGTGGTGGACTCTCTAATCTGGAGAACTAGGTTTGACTCCCCACTCCACATACAGCCAGCTGGGTGACCTTGGATCAGTCACAGTTCTCTCAGAGGTGTTCTCAAGAGCAGTTCTCAGAGCTCTCTCAGCCTCACCTACCTCACAGGGTATCTGTTGTGGAGAGAAGAAGGGAAGGTGATTGTAAGCTGCTCTGAGACTTCGAGTGAAGAGTGGGGTATAAATTCAACTCTTCTCCTTCTCCTCACTGGTAAGCACTTAAAGTAAATGACTCTTGAAAATATTAGGCGCCATGACAAAGTTTCTAGGGGTCATGGTGCCTGGGGTTTGTCAAGCCCTGGTGGAGAAGGTCTCTGCTGACTCCCCATTGATTCCTTAGCGTAGGGCACGGTCTCTTTCTCTGCTGCTCCCCCCCCCCCTTCGCTCAAGCAGGATTCCGGTTTTGTGGGTTATCCCAGAGCTAGAAGAATCACAGCGCATGGCTGGGCAGAGTTGCACCCTGGCAAGCACATGGCAGTCAAGGACTTCAACAAGGGTTTGGAATGCCCCTTTCAAGAAGGTTTATTGATTTATTTTTATTTAAATCACTCTTATGCTGCCTACCCACCCAATCAGGATCCACAACATTAAAATATTTAAACCACTAAAATGCAGGTAAAATGTAAAAATCAATGCAAAAAGCACATAAACAACAACACTATAAGGAGAGCCATTAACTGTTTTGGGGGTATACCGGAGGAAACAAAAAAGTGTTTACCTGCTGGCAAAAGACATCAACAGAGGGAGACACGAATTTCCCTGGGGACAGAATTCCAGAGTTTTGGTGCCACAACAGAGAAGGCCCTTTCTCGGGTCACCACCCATCTAGCCTAAGGTGGCAGGGGCAACTGAAGCAGAGCCTCTGAGGATGACTGGATTGAGTGGGTGGGTCAAACAGGAGCCTGGCACCATGGTTGAAAAAGCCCTGCAAAAATGGCAGAATAATCAAAATACTCTGGAAAGCAAAACAAAAGGGCATTTATTGCAGAAGTGTACTGGACAAACCTTGTCCTCCTTTTGCGAAGTGTAAGTCTTAAAGGGGAGGGGGGAAGAAGACAAGTAATCTCTGTGGACTAGGACCTCCTTGCGGGATTTTGGCTGTCATTGTACGTTGCTTGGCAGCCCCAAAGAATCCAGCCAAGGCCTTCATGCCCTGTGGGAAACTGAAGGCTTTCCTAAGCACTGAGTGGGCGTGACTCCCTCCCTGCATTCTTTACTCCATTCTGTTTCCAGCCTACTCTGTCACTGGCTGAGCATGAACAGAGCGCCTTCCTCGCCAGCCCCCACCCAGCAAACCCTTTTGCTGCTGCTGTTCTTGGGGTTTTTGGCCGTCAGGTCGCCGCCGGCCCCGCAGGGTTTTCAGGGCCAGAGACGTTCAGACTGTTGCCTGACATTCTGGACCAGAAGATGGCGCTCAAAGGAAGCTTTTCTCTGCCCACAGTTTGTTGGCCCTTTAGGGCTTGAGAGGGTTAAAGCGATAGTTTCCTAGACAGGCGGCACAAGTCCCCCCCCACTTCCGCCTTTGGACCGGCTTCTCTGGCGGGAGAGCTGGAGGACCGAGGCTGGAGCCGGACCGAGGGAGCCGCTTGGAAGGGTAAAGAAGAAGATCTGGGGGGCGGCGGAGGAGGAGGGAGAAGAAGAAGACCCGGATCCGTCCCTCTGAACTGTTGCGAATCTGCCGCAAGAAGCCGGGAGGGGATCCGGTTTCTCAGAAATCTTCCTGGTCTCTGCAGATAGGAAACCCCTGCTCAAGGCACCGGAGAGCCGGGCAGGCTGGAGTTTCTCCAGGTCACTTGGCAACCCCAGTGGGAAGGGCGTGTGGGCTTCAAGGCAAGAGCCTGGTAGGGCTGCAGAGGGCTTTGCGGTTGGGGAGGGGGAATAGAGCTGGCCCCGTGGAGACACACCCTCCCCCCCCCCCCACTGTACCTGTCCTCTCGGGGTCTTCTGTTACTGAGCTTCTTCGTGGGGTTAAAAGCAGATTGAATCCCCTGTGGCGTCTCTGGGGGGAAATATAGTCCTGGTTGGCAGATTTCGGCATCCGCCTTTCCAAAAGGAATCTATTTTCTCTGTCATTGGTAAATGGGATTCCTTTGGAGCAGGAGGTGTGTGCGAATGTAGCGAATAATCCCTCCTTTGGGGATGGGGTGGGGGTGTTGTATTCCATGGGATTCCTGTGGGGCCATCAGGGCATCCCACCTGCCACCCCGATTCCTTTTTTCTCTTCTGATTTGTAGCTTTATCAGCTCCCCCCCGCCCTTGAGTGTGCAGATCAGGAGAGTCCCAAACAGAGAACTTGGGTGTGGAGAGAGATTGGGAATCCCTTTTCTTTAAGGCGTGTTCCTCAAAGTAAGAGGTCAGATGCCTTAACTGGAGTGAGTGGAGGCTCTTTTGGGGTAGGAGGGAAATTCTCGGATGACGGTATCCTCTTTGATAGGGTGCACCTATTTCTGCTGAAGATTCCCACCTGAATGTCTTTTCTCTGACAGCATAAGGAACTTTTCAGGATGTTTTCATTAAGAAGGGATCCTGGTGTAATTTTCATGTTAACTGATAGATGAGTGGTTGTTTTTAAAACTATTCTTTTCTGTTTGCAATCTGCCCTGAGTATTATTGAGAAAACGAGGACTGAGATGAACCAAAGAGGTCAGCAGACCAAACGTGGGGATGAGGGAAGGCAACTTCTTGCTGACAAGACAGTTTCACAGCTCTTCCAATGAATGGCGTACACATATTGGCAAGGCCAGCTGGTTAAGTTCTGTGGGTAGCCATTAAAATAAATCCTAAACCTTTTAGGTAAATAACTATGGCTGCGGTCACACGGAGCATTAGGCACGCTAGAGGGACGGAAGATAGGCGGATTTTCCAGGCGCGATCTCACCACCACATCTGGGAAGCGTCGAGCTCCTGTGGCGAACCCGAGGCTTCCCGCGGAAGATGCGCAGTAAAAAAACTAGTACCTCGGAGGTACTAGTTTCCGGAAACCGTGGGGCAAGGGCAGGCGTCTGATCGCGTTTCCAGTGGTAGTTCCTGCGCCCACCCATGTCCCCTCGGAAAAAGGGTTTTTTTTTTCAAAGTCTCCACGGATGCGCACAAGCACCCAAGGGAGCATGCGCACATTTCAGTTTAAAAAAAAACAACCCAACCCCGTTTGCCCCGCGCCTTGCTTCTTTGCCGCGCGGCAGGACTGTGGAGTGATTGGCACCTCCCCCCTCCAGTGTGCTACTGGACTGGAATTTAACTGAGATTTGTTATGGTATAAACTTAATATCTGGATTAACACATATACTGCCAGAAGCATAAAGCATAGTCCACACTTGACAGATATATATCGTAATAGCTACACGGGGGGGAGGGGATGTTTTCCCATTTATTTCTGAATGTTGCCATTTTTATGTCATATCTTTTGTTCACTTCTTCTTCTGTGTAGCCCGTTACTTCACTATCCTACGTGGTAAGGTATTCCTGACAAGTGATGGTTTATATGATACTGGGAAACGCTGCAACAAGGCTCAGCTGTGACCCCGCATTTTCCTGCCCGTGTGACCGGGACCGATGACTCTCTTAACATCTATGAGTCTGGTTATGGAGACAACAATTAGTGGGTATAAAATTACCTCATAGTCCCCACTGGTTGGCAGTAGAGAAATCTTACCCTACTGGCTAAAAGTGTACTTATCTCGCGCCCCTCCAATATCATATGGCGATGGATGTTTGCTAGATATTAGTTGAAATGATCCTGTTGAAATCCGGATGAGGATAGCGTATTTTGGTGAGGGGATAGCAAGGGGTTGAAACCTCACTAACAATGAGCGCCAAATTGTCTGGCCAGCAAACGGGATACCACACAGGAAGATAGTACTGGATCTTTCCTGTGATCTGATTGACTTGCTCCATATGATGACTTTGCTGGTGGGGAGGAATCCCGATGCCCCAGCCCCCTTTGAAGAGAGACAGTTATTCCTGTCCTCAATGAACAATACTGGACCTGACTGAAAGGAGCCCAATGGAGTCTGCTCTTGGGCTGGTGAGAGAGAAGAATGTTGATAGATGGAAGAATGCCCTGGGGTGTATGTGTTGAGTTAG